TAAACTATAGGTCTTTCCATTTTTTGGAAAACAACAAACGAATATCATAAACTGGCCGTGCTCCTTGCCGCAAATCACTTCAGCGGTTATAGTAACGAATACGAGTATATAATTGAAAAGGGATGGAAAAAAGTCTCCGCTTCCGGGCTTCCGACGTGCAATACTTTGCAAAATATATTACTTACTTTTCTCAATTGAAACTTGGTAAAAAAAAGACAAAAAAATAGTAACAAAAAAGCTAGAATGCAAGTAAATAAACTTATTCATATGTACACTATATATGAAAATATTGACCAGCAACTTTCGACAATTTTAACCACGAATATACACGCACATGCACATGTATGTATGTATGTATGCATGTATAAAATTGCTTACCACGCTGGAGAACAATTTCCAATATTTAAACAATATAAAACAACAGACGGACAAATAAATGGCGAAGCATGAAGTTTATAAAAGCACCCTGTGGCCACAAGGAAGACCTGTCGAATAGCGCTAGATGTACAAATAATTCTATACGAACACATATCTATATACACATATGCGAGATGCACCGCGCTGTTTGCATACATGTGTGTGTAAAAATAAAGTAATTTGTTATTGAAAAAATTCTCGCTAGAATTTGCGGTTCGTACACTGCCGGGTGCCGGCTGCTGGGTGCTGGGAGCCGGGTGCCGACTACCACCCTGTGACGATGTACCCCGTTGCCAATGCCAATGCCAAACACTGACTAAACAAGTGTTGATTTATGGCATTATCCGGTGTGATTAAATAAGAGAAAAAGAGAAAAAGAGAAAACGAAATGCATAAACGCACAATGCAAAAAGGAAGGAGCAAAATAGTAAACATGAAAAGGAAGCGCACAATGAGCGGAAATATATTTTGCAAATAAATATAACAAAAACCCAGTGCATACTTATTATTGCAAAAAGAGAAGAAGAATTCAGTAAAATACAACATATTGCGCAGTAAAATAAAAGGAAACACTAAGCATTTTTTTTTTTCAACAGCGAAAAAATTTTTGTCAGTGTGTGTAGCAACATTTCACGCCACATAAAAAATGAAAACCCCACTGACAGCGGATTGCAGCTCGAGCTCTACGCAGTACAACTACAATTACTACGAAAAAAAAATGTTTAACTAATATGTATTGCAAGAGCATGAGCAAAAGGAAAAAATGCAGAAAATTCTACGGCAATAAATTCAACCGCTTTGCCGTTGGAGTCGTTGGTCTTTTACCACCAGACTCCATCACCATCCACACTTTGTGCGAGGCTGACCGCCTGAGTTGTTTTAGAATTCTTATGGATTGCTTCCTGATGGCTGCTTGGTGGTTTCGCTTGCGTACGAACTCATTGGAATGGCAATAACAACAGCGCATTGCTGTTTGTCTGTTGCTGGGATGTTTGCTTGGTTGCATTGAAGGTTGTATAGTGTGTAGCTGAGGCACTGTATTGCTTTGCTTCGTTAAATTTTACACTTTCTTTCAATTTTTTTTCTGTTTTTTTTTTTTTTTTGGAACAACAGCAAATGACCTTAACGAAACCGAAAGAGCTTTTTATATTAATTTCTTATATTAAATGGAAATGAAAATGGAAATGGGAAATTTTAAATTTAATATCAATGTTATAAACAAAAATGCACCAAAATAGAACGAAAAATTCAAATCTGCCTATTTGTTCTTGTAGGAACCAACTTTAACATTTGTAACTTGCTATTTTCAACTTTTCAATTTTCATGTTGATAAATTTTCAACTTCAGATATTTTCATTTTCTGAATTATTAAAAATTTCGTTTTCAAACATAATATTGAAAAGCGTTTATCCTCGGCAATTAAGCTGGTTGCTGAATCTATTGACTATTGCGATGACGTTATATTCTGTGCTGAGACGAAAATTATGCAAATTACAATGACGGTCCCACTAGAGTATGGTGAAAGACACTTACATCACTAGGAAACGCGGAACATCATACCAAGGGTCAAATTTGGAAAAGTTTCTGGTATGGTTTGGAAGTGTCGTTCAGCTAGAGGAGTAGGCGGATTGGCTTTCATAGAGAAAATAATGGATGCAGAGCAATATCTCAATATTTTAAGAAGTCACTTGCTAAGCAGTGCAGATAAGTTTAGATTTATTAGGAATATGAAACCGCATTTCAAATTTAAAAAAAAAAAAGTGGCTAAAAGGCAACTTAAAAACCTCACATAACTATGAAGAAGAATGTACGACATGAAAAAGTTGATATATTCTATGAGGAAGCGGCTGCAATGCGTGGTAAATGCTAGAGGCAGTCATACTAAGTACTAAATATTCCATATGGTCAGGTTTAAGATTAATCAAATTACTACACAAATACATATCAATATTTGTGAAAAGAGTTGCTTGATTGTAATTTAAGTAGGAAAATAGGTGTTTTTTTTTTGCAGTGAGAAAACTCATTCTTGACAACCTGTAAATAAATTTTTTTTTAAATAAAAGCTTATCTTCATTTACATTTATATATGTATATATGGTTTCGTTTACTTTTATTTTTTTTTGGTTTCCGTTTTTTTCTGTTTTTTTTTTTTTTGGTTATTTTATTTTTTATGTGTTTTTGATATGTTTCCTTTACATTTTGTTTGTTTGTTTATTGACTTTTTATTTATTCCATTTGTTTTGTTGTTTTTAATTTTTTGTTTTTTATGTGTGTTTATTTTTCTTTTTTTTCTTGTTCGTTTGTTTCTCTTTTTGTTGATTTTATTTTTTTTTCTTTTCTGTTTTGTTCTTTTGTTTTCTGTGTTGTTTGTCTTTTTTTGTTATCTGTTTTTTTTTTGTTTTCTGTTTTTTTGTTATCTGTCTTTTTTTTTGTTTTCTGTTTTTTTGTTATCTGTTTTTTTTTTTTGTTTTNGTTTTTTTTTTCTTTTGTGTTCATTTTTGTGTAGTAGCTTATAACATTCCTTTTTTTTTTGGTTTGTTGTTATTGCAAAATTATTCACATTTTTGATGTTGACATCAACGTTTCGCAGCTATATTACTTAACTTGTTCCACTTCGGAAATTACCACGCCGAGTGTCAAAGTGATTACTGAATTTACTTCTCCAGCCCCCTGAAGAGATGGCGAACCCTATTACCCCGTCGATGGTACAAATGTTTCCTTGCTCGACTATGAAAAAGTATGTAGAGTGATTTCCTGCTTGAAACACAATAAACCGATGTGCTTCTTAGAATTTGGTCGCCCGACAATTAGAACTTTACTGTACTCTGCTTAAATCACAAAAAAATAGGACCCCACAGTCTGCGCCAGTTACCGTGGGCCTCCTCAATTTCGAAGGATAATGTCTTATTAAGCGTACTGTGTATATAATTAAAGCGCAACGTCAATAAATGTGTGGCATTACTTGATAAATCAACCATCGACCAGATAATCTTGGAAAAGGACCTTGAGAAAAAGAACAACATACACGACATCTTCGCGGATTTCAGCTGATTCTTAGTCGGAATTCCCGCAAAAACTTATGAGATGACACAATACTAAAGGGCTCCGTCAAAAAATAGATTTCAAGCGAGATGACTACTAATAATCTCACTATAACATTCGTGTGCTCTAGCCGTGTCGTTAGTTTTGCTGATTTCACATTTTATAAGGTAGCTAGGCAAATGGGTCTATGATTTCTACGGAGCTATCAGTCAAAAATCGCTTCATTTCGTTGCTTACATGAGTGCGAGCACTATCCTGTTGGAAAATTAGTAACACCCCATGTAAGACTCAACAAAAGGAAGGAGGCTATTTTCAAACACTTGAATGATGGCCTCTGCTGTACTCAACACCAGAACCTCCTCCGAAATTGCGTTTTGAATAGCAAAAAGAGTTCTCTCATCAAGTTTCAATTTTTTTTGTGGTTCCAGAAGATAACCTTTATAACAAATAGAGTCAAACGAACAAGCTTTTACCATAAACAGCAATAAGCTACTTTAAACTAATTATAGTAAATATATTCTTCTGCAAATGGTAGACGCGCTTTGTTGTACCGTGGCAAAAGATAAGGTTTTTAATTATGATGACTTCAAATGATTGCATGCTACGCCAATTTTTGTTTTGTGACACTTTATTCACTATTTTAACGAGTTTACATTTGAATTTAGATTGGATATGAAGTGAATTATAAAATGGATTACGAAGCAATCACTCTTATCAAGAAGAAAGAGTGAAGCTAATGCGAGAAATTTATGTCAGTTCCGATACAATTTATTTGTCCATACAAATCAATCAAAATCTCCAAGTAATCAACGAAACCCATCACAATCAATTGTGATGCGACAGCTTTTTTAATGAACTACTTACGGTGTTTAACGGTGTAAATGTATTCAAAAAGTATTGACAGGACTATGGCACAGTATATAAGCTCACGTAATAAGGACGATAGCGATAAAAAGTCAAAACAGGAATTCTGAAATTAAAATTACTACCGCAACTTTGACCACCGGCACACTCAATTTCCAAGGAAAAAAAATCAACACAATTACTACTCGTTGTTTTTGCAACTGTACACTTTTTGCAAGTATAAATTTATATATGTATGTATATTATACATACCTATAAATTCAAGCTCAACACAAGTTCAACCAGCAACTTGTAATTAACTGTCAAAAATATGACAGATGGTCATGGGAAAAAGGTCGATTTCCATTCAAAAATACCAAATATACTAGATAGTTCAAAGCTACAGTTAAACTAAAAATAACAACTAGTTACTACAGCAACAAAAAATTCCAAACTCATAAAATCGAGTAGAGTCGAACAAAACGAATAGCGTTCAATCAAAAGTTAGATTTAGTAGATGTTTTGCACAGATATGATGGCGCATACCAATCCAAATGTGTACATGCACATGTGTCCATACATACATACATACATACATATGTACACATGCCTGTATGCACCTCAACATACCGTTGTAAAATGAGTTTATTGCTTGTGTTAGTTGACAATAAATGCCCGACTTTTTACATCTCACTTACCGCAACAGAGTTCTTCATGTCCGCTATGGCTGACGCAAATTCAGCAAAATGCAATTCCGGCAAGTAAATTATTGGCGCCAATAAATCACCAGATTTGCGTCCAGCTTCGAGTGCTTTTGTTTCCCACTCTTCCGAATTGGTGAGTATTGCTCCGTGAAGTTTGCCCGTGGCTATGCCCTGGAAGGGATAATAATAAGTGAGTAATATGGAATTAGTAAACATATAAGGAAATAAGTTGAAATAAATTGAAATATTTTTAGTAATTAGCTTTTTATCTATTTATCAGGAAATTCAATTCAGTGCTCGATAATAAAGGCCATATGGACATGCAAAAAATATATAATATGAAAAAAGTTGGTCTGATTCACTAGCCATATTCAGGAAACAGTAGTCAACTGCAGTGAAATCCAACGAAATATGAGGTGAAGTAAAAAGAAATCCATTATTTTTGCAGAAAATTTAATGATTTAATTTTTTTGTTTTCGTATCCAGCCTAATTCAAATGGCTCCAAACGTTTTCTTGTGGACCCCTTAGCTGTTAGGCAATCGAAACAGTACCAGGAAGCATTTTGGCTGATATTATTTTCAATTTGTAACGGCATATTTTCCCGATTATATTAACATATTGACATAAACATCCTATCATTTACCTCAAAAAAAGTCTTTTTTGTTCGAATATCAAAATAACATCTATTATTGGAATATCCTGTAGCTTTCACGAACACATCAAATTTCGATGGTTTTCATCGTAAATGTTTATTTTGAAATAGGTCTGTATAAATCCGAGTTTCAAGCCTTAGATCCTTTTCTACGTATGTAGGAACCAATTTTTACGTTCTGAGATTCTCTTTGGACGTTTATGACCTAAAATCTCAAATCTGAAACATCGGTTAATTTATGTCAGAAATACGCTCATAGGGCTTGACTATCCCTACCGAAGGGCGGCCGCTATAAGAAAATTGTTTTTTCCTATAAATTTTGGTTGTCAAAAACTGGAAGTTGCGTTCAAACAGGCTAAATCAACTCAACTCGTCCTGGTGATTCGATCAGTATCAATTTTGGTTGGTCTTTCACTTCTCTTGGGTTGAATTTGACTCCTCGGAGTCGCTTAGGGGACAAATGGTAATAAAATGCGGGGATCAGGTCTCATTGGAAATTAGCCATTCTTTTACCGTCCTAAAATTGAAGCTAATAGGAGGGCTGCATTTTATATTTCAGGATTAGTGAAAATCATCGGAAATCGCTTAATTCTTTTTCCAAATATTCTCCATTAAGATCTACACACTTTTGTCACCCTAATTGAGGTATTTGTGAATAATTTTCATCAATTCCAATGTACTAAATTTCTTCGATGATTTTCTTAAGGTCTGAGACAATTTTCGTTTGGAACAAAAAACAAACTTTACAAAAAAAAGTGTGCCGCTTTCGCAAAAGTTAGTTAAAAACTGAATCCGTGCGCACTTCCATAGACTATAGTTTGTAGATAATAGAACTTTTTGCTTTTTTGTTCTAGGTCTCATCGGTCCTACCGTGGAAGCTTTTCAAAAAAAAAACATGGATTAAATAATTTTGTAACAAAACAGTAATTAAAGTATATATTTTATGCTTCAATATATGTACAATGAAATGGTTGAATAGAAATTATATTCCTTTTCCTATATTGAATGGCTTTACCCCATAAAGAAAATTTTCACTCGAAAAATTTTAACTTTTTTGCTTTTCTCTGATCTATTATATTTTGCCATTTTCTGATACCTATAACTGTTGCCTTCAATTTATTATTTAACTAAAACAGATGCAATTTATATACTTCTTTCTTTTCTTCTGTATGTACAAATTTGCTAAATTAAAACATATTAAGACACATTGAGTCGAATAGAAAATCTCTAATACAGTTAAACACGGACTTTCTGTGTAGGTCACAATTAGCAGCATAAAAGGCAAAATGAAGAACATACTTTTCAATAGAATTTATGCAAATTGACAGCCGTACTCGTATGTGCTGTGAAAAAGTCACAAAATACAAGCTCACATGTCCATGCTAGCCCAAGGTTAAAAAGCTGAAGGCTTCACTCTGAGCTGCATTCGACTTTTGATCTTCGGTGACTGTCAAAAAAAAAATATCAAATGTCAGATTCGTGATTTATAAGCAATCGAAACTGTCAAAACTTTTGTTGAATATCGAAATTTCAGTCGAACATCATTTCGTTTTCGATGGTTTAGCGAAAGTGAGAAAATTGCTGAAAATTTAAATATTTTCAAATTTTATTACATTATTTTCCTAACTTGGTGGATTATTTGTTTATTTTAAGGGGTAAAGCCACTCTAGGATTTTGGAAAACGCAATTTTTTTTTACTCACAACTGTAAACTATTTTTTTTTAATTATTTGGTGCGTTTTTTTAATCAAAATTTAATATCAATAAAAAAAATTCTGCCGCTTTCAGAAAAATTAGCTAAAAAATAAATCCTTACGTACTACCAAAGACCACATTTTGTAGATCATAAAGCTTTTTGCTTTTTTGTTCTAGGTCTCATCCTTTAGATTTCTTCTAATATCATGGTTCTGATCATATGACACCCATCGGGACTACTCCAGTCTTCAGTTAGCATTTTCGATGTATAACTCTCCTATAGTGAGCTTTTAAGAGAGAGAGAGAGATTTGGTTTTAATATTAACAGATTTCAACCACTACTAAACTAGTCCACATTCAACTAAGTACGCTATCAGTTCCAAAAGAGAACAAGTGAAAAAGTGTTTCTTTCCTGGCAGAGCACTTGTGGTCACATGCTTCATTTGCTACATTACGAGTATATAGTATATACCGGAGAGTAAATAAGTGTGATTACACTTTTGCCCTGCGAAAACGAGCATCAAAGTGCCACACTAAGTTTGTTGTATGCAACGTCAACATTCAAATCAAATTAAGACAAATTGAAAGTGTTGCATAAAGAAGAAATACGAATGGCAAATGAAATAAATGTCGGTGTATAAAAGTGGTGAGCAAACAAACACAAAGACAAGCTTTCACTTGAAAAAAAAAGTAAAAATGACTAATAGGAAGCAGGGGAAGGATGAAAGGAAATGATGGTTGAAAGGAAACCAGAATTCAAAACAAGCAATTGCTTCCCACTTATTATGGGAGAGAGAGACTAATGCATTTAAGCGAAATAAGGAAAAATAAATTAACCATTTATAGAATTTTACTTCGACTATTAATTAAAAACAATTTGCAATTTATCTAAATGAAGAAATTAAGAAGCTCTTCAAGTCCTTGATTTGTTTATTTTTCTAAATTATGTAGAACCAGCACAAATGTAGGCAATGTTTTAAATTACCTCAATAAATAAAAGGTGATTGTTTAGCTATTTTCTTTTTGGCAAAACTGTGTTTTGTATCACTGTCAAACGCCTTCAGTTTGGTATGTAACTTAACTATGAATCGTCTTACAAACGAACAACGCTTGCAAATTATTGAATTTTATAATCAAAATGTGTGCTTTGTTAAGAAAGTTCATCGCGCGCTTCTTCCGCATGCGCTTCCAAGCTCATTTTTTGGCTTAATGGGTGCGTAAATAAGCAGAATTGTCGATTTTGGAGCGAAGATCTGCCAGAAGCATTGCATGAGCTACCAATGCAATCAGAAAATCACAATTTGGTGCGGTTTATGGGCTGGTGGCATCATTGGATGATGCGAATCGTAACGTAACTGTGAATGGTGAGCGCTATCGTGAGATGATATCAAACTTTTTTTTTGCCCAAAATGCAAGAGCTTGAATCGCCTGTCATAAGGTTTCAACAAGACGGTGCCACATGCCACACAGCACGCGTATCAATGAACTTATTGAGAGGCTAGTTCGGTCAACAGTAAATTTCACGTTCGGGATCGGTCAATTGGCCGCCTAGATCGTGCGATTTAACACCTTTAGACTATTTTTTGTGGTCTTTACAGACAAGCCCGCTTCAATTGACGCATTGGAGGACAACATTGAAGCATTTATTCGTGAGATACCGGCCGAAATGTTGGAAAGAGTATGCCAAAATTGGACTAAGAGGATGGGCCATTTAGGGCGCAGTCACGGTCATTATATGCATGAAATAATCTTCAAGCATTAAATAATATGGACCGTACTATCGATTCAAATAAAGATTTAATGCATTTTCTGAATTACCCTTTATTAAACAAGTATTTCAAAGTTTTCATGACATAAAATATTGATAATTAACAGGTCTCCACTGTTTTTTTTTTTTTAAGTACATACAATATCGATCTTTATTATCTGCTACGTTTTCTCTTTGTGCGGATATCTCCATTACACCATCAGTAAAGAGCTTCTGTGGTTTATGGGCGAAGAACTTAAACAAATTATTTTCAGTACCTCTAAGGTCGCCCATTTTTTAACCATGAAATGGTAGTCAGATGGTTTAAGTTTCAACCTATATTGGGGTGCACCAATACTTCCCAACTAAGCTCCATTAATTTGTCCCTGGTAATAAAAGTTGTATGTGGAATTATCATGAGGAAACACAACACCTATTGATCATTTTTGAGCGCTTTTTGTGAAGAGCTTGTTATAACCTGTTTATTATTATTACTAAAAAATGGAAAAGAAGTGATAATAACCTTTTTTACATCTGAGAGGAGTACAAGTTTAGCCACTTTTAGCTATAATTAGACATTATTATACTTTTTGGGTTGGTTTCTCTCTTGAAGATTGTCCAGGTTTCAGACGAGATGTTGACTCATGCTGTTGAGTAGTGTGGATATGTATCGAGTAAAAGGTGGAAGGAGACTACTTCAGCGCCATAAAGGTGACATTGAGGGTATCTCGACTTTTTAAAATATGGCTGTGTGTTAATATCACATGACCCATTCTTAGACGGCAGAAGTATATGAGGCCTTTAGAGCTTGTTTCTGGCATTCAGTGTTAATCATTGAATAGTGATTGTTACAGGTTTTCCATTCATTGAGTTAAGTGTTGAAAATCTATTTTTCAGCCAGTCATATTTCAGATTGACCGAATATTGTGAGTGGTTGATTCACTATTTCGTCGGCAGCTTCGTTCTCAGGTATTCCCACGAGACTTGGAATCCACATAATTTTTATAAATTTTTCTCCTAGCATCAAAGCGTTGTGAATAACTGTGCTAAAAGCTATCCTATAAATAGTGGATAAACTGTCGGTGCATATAACATTGTATTGCTTGCCGAAAGGCACAGACTTTAGCAGTAAAAGCGGAACAAAAAGGAAAGATGTGAAGATGAAATTGATAAATTTTGAACGATTTTTGGGGGGTTGTTATAAGTTGGTTAACTATTGACAATAGATCTCAGAATTGATCGTTGCATCAAGGTTTTTTTTTATTTTTTAACATTAATATATATTTATTGAATCTGCGGTCGTTATTACTCGTTATTAACGTTTTCGTTTGGAACCTTTCAATGCATATTCGTCGCGCAAGCTGTGCACCATAACTGAATTCCATACATCCATATCGGTTTTATAGTTGCGTAATATTTATAAGAGGACTTTGTTGCTAAGGCTAAATCCAGACTTCTGGTTCAAAAACCAATGTAAACTGACAGATTTGAGTTTAAGCTGCAGCTTTTTAGTAGCAATGTGTCGTTCCTTGGTTAAGCGCCTGTCCAAATGGATTTCGAGGTACGTAAGTTCGTCAGCTTGCGGTATCGATATATTGTTGAGCTTGACGATAGGGCATATTTTCGGCTTTAATGTAAATGTGTGTTTGCACTTGTTTGCTTTAGCTTTTATGTGTCATTTTGCTGGATATTCTTCAATTGGTTTAAGTTCTTTTGTGACTGCAATTGGGCATTTATGTCGACTTAGTATTAGCAGTAGCATTCGCAAATGTTGACGTAACTACTTTGTCACTTGTAGGAATATCTGCGGTGAACAAAATATACAATATTGGTCCAAGAACACGGCCGAGCAATACTCTCTAAATTCGAAAGCTTTCCTTATTTAAGTTTTACTTATTCAAATGTGCCACGTTTTTTGCGAAAACCAAATTTTGATGCAGAAAATGAGTAATTTATGATAGCAACACTTTTTCGAAAAGCTTAGATATTTGTGGGTAATATTCTAGCTTTAAAATGGCACTGAAAAGTTTTGCAAGAAAAACGACAGCAGCGCTTGGCAATTTTTTGTTTGTTTTTTTTTTTTTTTGGTATTTTTGGTGAGAAATGATCCTCAAGGAGATGATTTTTTGGGAGTTAAGATGTTCCGCAAGTAAGTGTTTCTAGGAGCGTCAGCGTTGAAGAAGCTCACAAAGGACAATTCCATGCAGTCAGCATCATCTTGTTTTAGTTCATTTCAGGCATTTCAGTCGTTTGTGGAGGTTCACCGGCATTTGACTATAAGTTTTGTTTTCATTTTAAATTCACATGTTTAACCCATTTTTCATCGACTCGAGTTTTTAGCGTTTCAGCAGCATTTTACTGATGGCCAATCAAATTTAGACGGAAGCTTTTCTTTGAGTTGCCAGCATTTTTTAATTAGTGACACAGCTTAAATGCCGGTCTTACTCTCTCAGTTGACGAATTTCATCGTTTTCCTATTCGAGAGACTGATCGACTAGAACGAAGTTCATCTTTAACTCAAAATTTTCGAAAACGAATCGTGCAAACCACTCAGGCGTTCACTTATAGCATTCTCTTTTAAATTTTTTTTATTTAAATTATTTTACATACACCAAAGCGTTCAAAAAGTAAAGTTTCTCTGAGATTATAAACTCAGTGCTTAACTAAAAAATAAATGTATTATAACCGAATATTTGAGCATATGACAATGGCAATTATTATATTTTTTTTTCTTTCTTAATAAGATACAATTTATAGCAAGCTTATAAACAAAAGTCATAAGTCATAAGATTAAAAGATTAAAGAGTCGCCAGACGCGCTTTCCCCATCTTCGGTTAAAATTTAAAAACGCTACTAAATTTCCAATAAAGCACACACATAGATACATACGTGTATTATCTTCATATATACATATTTGAAACAAATTGCGCTAAAGATTTATGAAACTACCACTATATGTTCATATGCATCTGTAGTTATGTACGTTGCAGCCAAGAACAAAATACAAAGTGCAATATATCAACAGTAATTTCGTATGCAACAACAATCTTGCGAAAACTCTATGCTACTTTCACTGCTCAACTACTACACGATGGTACTCCGCTGCTGTTGTTGTTGTTGTTGTTATTGGCTTTAATACCATTGGCATTGCCATTACCAGCATCTAAAGCCACTACAGCCAACAATCGATGTCATATTGCAATTTACTTTTACCAATTAACCTTATGACTTTATAAAGCGCTGCATAAATTTTACTTAAGTAGCTCACAAGGATGCTAGTCAGCCGAACAGCTGACCAAATAGTCGGACAACGAGTAGCATAAGAGAAATCCAGTCAGTTGGCCAAAGCATTTTGAGTAGGTATAAGTGTTCGTGTGAGACGGAAACTCATTTGGATATGCCACAAAATTTTTATTAAATTATGATTAATTGTTTCGCTATAAAATTATGGGATAAGCAGGGATAGGTAAATTAAATTGCAAGATGAGGTGCACTCTTGCTATTTGATAGCAATTCCTACTCCACTCCTGCAAAGCGAAAGAAAAGTTGGTGAAAATGAAACACCCGGAGATGGCAAACAGAAACGGGGGCCAAAAACGAAACCCGGAAACAAGAGACGGAAACAGGGGTCAGGAACGGTGTGCGAGAACGGAACCTGGGAACGGGAGCGGAAATGGGGTCCGTAATCGATACCCGGGAACGAGTACCGGAAATGCAATCTGAAAATACTATACGGAAACGGGATTCGAAAAAGGGAGCCGGGAACGAGAACCTAGAGGCAGAAGGGGCTGGAAACGGTGATGATATCCGGGGACCAGAGCTGGGAACCATTTGAATTTCAAATGCCAACTCGCACACAAATATTTGACGATGACCCCCTAGACCGATTCCCAACCTGCATAAGCAAAGAGAATTGGTCTGCACGGGAACGAGGAGCAGATGACGGAAATGACGTATGGGTGGCGGAAACAGCGGGCGGGTGACAAAAACGGTGAACGAGTTACGGAAAAGGTGCAGGGCATTCTAAATGCTCATTTACCGTCCTCTACAAATTCAAAGTTTGCGGTTACAACAACAGCTACAACGATTTTGTAATTTACCTTGGAAAAAAGGTTATCAATATCCTGGTCAAACGTCAATGTCGAGCAGACGCGGTAATTGAGCAGACAACTTGGTTACCTGTTGACCTAAATTGGGTTAGGTAGCCGAAAGGGTGACAGCCCTTCGCCAGATGAAATCCGGGTGCGTAGAACTGGCTGTCTCCCGTTAGATTACCTCGGCGACTCACTTTAATTTATTTGTTCCTAGGCGGGTTAAGCGTAGCCGCTACAACAACATCAACATCTGCAACAACCTTCGGTAGTGGAGGGAGTTTCGTAATCTAAAAATTAAGCATTGGATGCCCATAATAATTAGATATGTACATGCGTTAAGCAACTCTTTATGCAACACTTTTTGGCGACAAAAGCGGTAGTATAAGTATATTTTTAAAGAAATGCATTTTAAAGTAATATACAAACCTGTGCACCGGTCAAAGTAGCCATATCCAAAATTATATTCGCTTTCAAATCTTTACGAGCAAAACTAACACCGTCAGACAGTACGAGACGACCCTCAGCATCAGTGTTATTAATTTCAACAGTACGCCCGGAGTACAGGGTGTGCACATCATCTGGACTGTATAATAAAAAAAATTAAATTCATTACTGTTATCAATCAACACTGTTCGATCAAAAACTTACCGTGTAGCGTTCGGTCCCACAGCATTCTCGGCCATACAAAATACGGCATGTAGATTTTCTGTGAAACCACATTTGACAGCTGCATAAAAGGCACCTAAAATGGCAGCAGCACCGCCACAGTCCCGTTTCATGCCAGGCATTGCAGTCTTGCCTTTAATACTTAAACCGCCAGTATCATAAACGATACCCTTGCCTACAAAAGCAATGGTGTCCTGTGCTCCTTTTGGCTCATAGGACAGGACCACCAATGCCGGTGGCACAGCCGCCGCTTTACCAACACCATAAATTCCACCAAATCCACGTTCACGCAATTCCTCACCACGTATGATGGTGTGGTTAATGCACAACTCTTTTGCGATGAGTTCAGCTTCCTTTACAAAATGGCTAACGTTCATTTCATTACAAGGCATATCAACGATACGCGCCGCTAAACGTATACCGCGTGCAGCCTCTTCAATACAAGCAATATCCGTTGACTGCAGCTCTTCCTCACAAACTTGACCATCCGTTTCGATTACAATGAATTCAACATTAATTACGGGATTAACATTCGCATTACCATCATCTTCCTTTTCCATGACCTCGTCTTGCGAATAAGATTCAACTTTACCCTGAGCACCACTGCAAGTTTTTCGAGAGTACAATGGAAAAGCTCGTGCTACAGCACAAGCGCTAGCAAAAAGATCACTACGATCACAAACAATAACAACATTCTCTTCATTGGCATGCATGATGTGCGTTCGCACAAGACGTGTAATGGCATGAGCACGCGATGGTGTATTGTGACGCGAACTTTTAAGTGGTACAGCCGCTACGGTGGCACAATCCAAATACAGCGAACATTTATCCGTTGGTGAAGGATGCAAGCAAGCGATGGCATTCTTAAATGTGGTCTCGTCAACACGTGCCTCCAATTTGCTTGATACATTTGAGAATTTCAACAAATTTAAATGACGCAATTGCCCAATGATAAGGACTGGCTTGTAATAAGGATCACATGGTGTTAGAGCACTATTAAATTTTATATCAGCAGCCATCTGAAATTGTATGTATGTAAGTTGTTAGTGAATATTCAATTAACTTGATATTAATAAGTCATTAATAAACTAAAATGAGAAACTTGAATACTCCACAGTGTAAAGGCCTAACTTATTCTGGAACTGAAGTAAGAAGAACTAGCCCAGAATCTGTTTGCAATGCAAAAACTAGTGTGGCTGCTTAACTTGTATTTGATCAGAAGATTCATAAATCGATCATTAATTTTTTAGCTGTGTTCAAATGTTACAATAGATAGATACATTAGCGTAGAGGATATGCACCCCGACGAGTTGTCTATTGTGCCCTCCGATTTTTTCACATTATTTCAACCAGACCTAATGCCATTATAAAACTAATCAGACTAGAGGGGCTGATTGATTGATTTGTATGTTTACATACATACGTTTATAATTAAATAAGAGCAAATAAAACTTTTTTTTATTGTATTATTTATAAAAGTTGTTTACGCCCACTTATTGACGCTGATTAAAATCTATCAACAAATTTAAATGTTCTTATGCATAGACATATGTATGTACATACATACAAAAGAGTATATATGTAAAAACTTACAAACGTTTGAACCTGTTTTAATTTTTCATCGTTGACAACTCCCTCTTTGTGCATTATATATATATAGATATATATATATATACTCAGCCCTTAAATAAATACAATTCAGCAGGGTTCAATTAAAATTAATTATTGTGTGAAATTTCAACGCTATGGACACTTGGCTAGCTAGTACAACTGTTGGTGTTTAAAATGCAAAAGTCCGTAGAAGACATAAAAAATATGTAATTAAACGTAAAGTAGATTATTTATGAACAATAAATCAATGCTTATCAGCGGAATGAGCGACGATTATAAAAAAAAATACTTATGACCAATCGTTCTGTGAGGATAAGCATATACAGAATATACTTGGCTATTGCAAAATATTGCTCCACTAGATATTATCTTATCGAAATATGCACATACTTAAATTCCATGGCAAATATTAAACAAAAAGTAAAACGACATTACTGCAATATAAACGTTTTATAATATCAGCTCATATTAACGCTAATCAAATATATATGTAAGTACGAGTGTTTAGATAAGCGGCTTTGATAAGTAAGCTCATGCATACGTATGTATGTGTTTAAAAAAACGTCAGCAATAGATTATCAGCTTTTTTAATGGTGTACAATTGATTTGAGATTATAGGTACCTAGAATATATTGTTATTAATTATAGCAACTATTTATGGTTAAAAAATATTTAAATTGAATGCTGCCCTTTTTGTAATAGCAGTGGAATTTTCTAAGATGTATTGTAATATGGTTTTGCCATGTTGGGCATCTGCGACTTTTTGCTTATTGCAAAATCACACTTTGAATTACATAAATTTGTATAAATGATAATCAATTGTCCAAAATTCCAAGTCATTTTGACATAAGCTTTTGCAGGCGTTTTCTGCTTCTATGCGGACTAATAGCAAAATCTATTTTTAGATATTACTGAAAGTGTAATTGTAAAATTTTATATAATTATATTCATATAATACTCAAGAAATGTTGGTATATTTTAACGGGTTACAGATTATCAGCCAATTAGTCTGGTCTGATGTACGGGACTCACCATTTGGCTGCTGCTCTTCTTCTGACAGAATGTTGTTGATTTAGTGGACGTTGCGGCAGTGCGCAAATAAGTTATTAATAACTGCTGCTTTAAATCCCTGTTACAAATTTTGTCAATTTCAAACCAGTTACGATGATTGGCATAAATTTTGAAAAATTTAATTCAAAACCAAAGCAGCTTTATTGCCGTTAAACTGGTAACAAATGAAATGAAATTTCTATGAAATTTTGCAAAATCTCTTTCACATTTCCTTTACAATTGTCATCGGCTATTTGCTTTTGTTGACTTATTAACTAAATAACAAATATTGCCAGATCTAAAAAATTAATGGGTTTGTTATATTAATCTAGGCGAATTTATAAAAGGCGAAGTTTTCACATTATATGACTGCCTCTTCTGCCTTTCATTGCAAGAAACAAATTACGTTGCGTTACACAAATGAATTTCATTTTTGATTTTTCGAATCTATGATTACACAAACAAAATACATACCAAATTAAAATCATTAAAAAATCAAATTTTTGTTTTAAGGTTGCTGCATCTTTGTTGTATTTTGCGATATTGATTACTGCAAGAACCCGGCAAGTTAGTATTTTCTATTTTGCACTTATATCAGTATATTACTTTAATCATTTCACTGTTAATTACAAACCAATAATGTAAACCTACTTTATTAGCTATTACTTTGATTTGGCAGCTCTTAAACGCACCTTCTCGGTATAACCACGCATTGAACACACCTAATCGCCTCACGTCAATTTAAATGTCAAGTTTCTACACCCAATGCCTATGCTCCAACGCTCCTTCTTCCCGCTTGCAAAAGTGCCCCAACAATTTTGTTATCGTTTGCCCCAAGAACTGTCAATGAAACAAAACACTGCAGACAAAGGCGAGGCGAGCATATAAACCGAAGAAATTAAATAAGCCGAGAAGAGTAGAAAAATTTGGCGACACAACGTTATTTCGATCAGTTTGTTGCGGGGTCGGTTTGCAAACGGTTGTGCAGGTCTAAATTACCTAAAACTATATACAATCTATTTGGATTGTTAAGAGTCAGATTGGCTGAGTGTGTGTGTACAATCAAGTAACACAGAAAAATGTATCATTTGAAAAATTTGGCACGTCAAGCGGCGGTGCGTCAGCAGGAAGTAGCTACACTGGTTAAGGCTTTGCCCACATCAGCCTTGCAGTCTCGCGGCTATGCAGAATACCAAATACCCGATCGCCTCAAGTCTGTGCCCACAGCTAAGGATCCACGCTTCTTCGACATGGTGGAATACTTCTTCCATCGTGGTTGTCAAATTGCCGAAGATCGTCTTATTGACGATATGAAAGGCAAAATGTCGCTGGAGGAAAAGAAAAATAAGGTCAAGGGTATTTTGATGCTTATGCAACCATGTGACCATATCATCGAGATTGCTTTCCCACTACGTCGCGATTCAGGCGAATATGAACTAATTACCGGTTACCGTGCTCAGCACAGTACCCATCGTGTACCAACCAAGGGCGGTAAGTGTAACGCTCAGATTAAAAACTACCATTTATCAAAAGGGTAGAAAGATTGTAATTCAAAACGTGGCTCATAAAATATTTATTATATTTACGCAATAGCACAAACTGCAATTGTGCTGGCAGTGAAGAAAACTTAATTCAATTAAATAATTATACCTTAAGAAAATGTTGGTGTCATTTGAATATGTATTTTACAACACGCTTATGCAATCACTTCTGCATGCATGCATACATATAATTATAGGAATATATGTGTGTAAATATACGATGTACATATGTATGTTGGTATATTATCAAATAATTATACTAACTTTGAACACCTTCGTTGTTAGGGAGCAAACATTTTACTTGTAATACATACAATATATTATATATACTATATACAACAGATGTACAAACGGGAAAATTTATTTACGCATACATATGTACATAAGTATGCACTATATCCATGCTCTACTTTTGTTTACATTGCAACATGCGGAAATTTGAGCAAGTGGTCGATACTTAAGTGGCATTGCATAAGAATGCAGGTCGTGCCTCCTTGGTAGGAAGTTGATTCGCAAGCCATGCAAGTGGCATTTCTTTATGCTTGACTTGGCCTTTTGCCTTATAAACGTGTTATGTTTTTTTCTTATTTAGTTTTTTTTTTTTTTTTTTGCTATAAAGGATTAGCCCTCAATTAAAAAAATAATATATACAAACATGCATATATGTATGTATGTAAGTTGTTATTTGGAATATATTTTTTTAATAGTTAGAATACAAATCATTTTCAGTTGATTTTGTTTAAGTAATGTTTTCAAATCTATGAACTCAGTATTGCAGAGTGCAGACTGTACAATATAACTCACTTCTTGTTTGTCAAGTTTCATTTCGATATTTTAATTTGAAGAAAATAAATAATTAGTGTGTTCGGCGAGGCGCTGCTCAATAAAAATTGTTACCTATTCTTACTTAACCCCGCGTACGGTTAGACGAAAAGCCAGTAAAATTTGTAACGAGACAGCACAATTTTGACATTCCGTTACTGGCTAACTCTTACTGACATTTCTCACCGAATAGAGCTAATTAAATTCAAATTATATGTCGAAAACAACAAAATTCTAAATTTTAGTTCAAAAACAATTACTTTTACCATAAAAAATTGCATGACAATTAAGTTTTTACATCTTTACATTAGCGTATTCTACAATAATTTATCAAAAATCTTCTCTGACAATACACAAATTCTTTGTCAGCAATTTTGTGAGCGCGACAATTGGAAAAGTTAATTTCTAAAATCAACTGCAGCCACACAGTTTCTAATAATTGAAGGCATCTCGAATGTCAGCACGTACCCCCATTTATGTGTACATATAGTGTCCAAACATACATAATCTCGGTGTTTTTGATAATATTAAGCACGTACTAATTTCATCATTATAACTGTACCAAAATTATTATCAAATAATTGTTAACCTTATATAACCTTGAGTTATAAAATTTAGGCACGCTTTATTGATAACTACTTCTTAAATAGTTTAAATCGAAAGCAATTTACCAAAAAAAAATTTTTTTTTTTTTTGAAAAACATCCGGCAAACAAACATCATAACAACTTCTAATAAATTGGGACCAAAAAAAAAACTGTTTTAGTGAAAGATGAGGTCATAAGTGTGCTGTATTATTAAAGTAGAAGAAGAAAGTAAGTCACTATCTCAAAATAAACAATAAATAAACAAATAATTCGCAATTGCAAAACAACAACAAGTTATCGGTAATATACATATGTAACTACATATGTATATACATATACATACATACATTTTTGGGAGGCGGCTACAGTCGCTAAGCGTAAAATTGTCCAATTATTTGTTATCTCAAAAAAAAAAAAAAAAATAGCATAAAATAAATTTCGCACGTATATGCGAACTCGGTTCATTTGTGGGAATCATGCGATTTGTGATTAACTTTTGGCACAACGAATAAACCTTTTTGCAGGCAACAGATTCAAATGTTTAATGGAGACTGCTTCACACCTGATACGAGTGAGTGCATTAGTTGCCAAGCCCCTTTTTGGCATGGCGCGCGTGCGATAAAATCAAAACACTTCGTGTGAATAAGAATTTCCATTTCCATTGTGATTACCAAGCATTTCGTACAGTCTATTAAAAAGCATTTGATAACGCTTTGCTAATTAATTCAATAAATTGGAAATTCAAAATTTTAGCAAGCAAAGAAAGAGCATTAAAATTGTTTATTATAGCACTAGGCAAATAGAATTTCAATTTTTTTTTTTAAATACACTTTATTAACTGCAAAATTTTTCTATTGTCGTGCTCTTATCATTTGAATATATTATTAAATATATATTTACAAACATATGCGGTACAACTATGAGCACAGCTTGTGATTTTTTAATTAGCAAACTTTTCTGTTAATATTTCCTAATTTAATAGACATTTCTTTTTTGTTATTTAAAACACATTTTTATGATGTTATGATAGTAACGAGCAGCAGCAGTTGGAAACCTTGTCAAATTAAATTCGTTTGAATTTTATATATATATGTACATACATACATACATATGTATATTCAAAAATCACTTAATCTTTTGTGGTGCTAATAATTGTAGGTGTTAATTTTTACAATTTTACAATTGTACATATACATATGTTATATGATCACACATATGTACATACACATACATATTTATATAATTTTAGCAAAGAGTTATTTAATTAAAAAATTATGGTTATTATTCTACTTGCATTTAAACAAATATACTCTACGAGTATATACATAAGTAAATATAAATATTTATGATTTTTATGTGTACTAAATTAATTATGAAAGCATTTAGTTTTATTTGTTATCCCATTTTGAATGAATTTATTATATTATCATATTTATTATTTTTCTTCTGTGAGCGGTGTGAATAAAAAAATTTTTACAAAAATTGAATATAACATTAAAAAAATGATAACAGTTTATTTCACGGTGCAAATAATTCGCTCCTTTATTTATTTATTATTATAATTTTTTCCAAAAAGTGTTTTTTTTTATCGAAAAAAAAAAATAAAAAATACATCATTCAAAATATTGCTCGGAAGCGATTACTTTTTGTCCATCTCTCTGATAATCTTCGAATACCATCTCTAAATAAATTTGATCCTTGATCCAATTATTGAGGCATTCCGCCATTTTTTCAAAAAACCAGAACCGATGACTACTCAAATCGTTTTGCATTCCTCGAAAAAGCCAGTAATCGAAAGTAGCTCAGTCTGGAAATTAACAGCAGGTGAGGTAGGGACCTCCCATTTCCGTGTCGCCAGCCAGTTTTTGACCATTACTGCCACGTTTGTCTGAGCGTTGTTATATTGTAAAGTCACCTTGTCATTCGATGCCTTTCGATTTTTTTTGGACATTTCAATCAGCAAACGCATTCTTTGATTATTCCGTCGGCGCAGATTCACCATTATCTTCCAAAAAAGCATTCGATGTGCTTCATTTGCACTTTTTTTGCAATTAACATAGCTAATCAAAACTTCCTGCAAATGCTGTATATGTAACATTTTCTCGAAGAGTCCAAAAACACTGTTGTTAGCAGAAATAGACGCTGATATACCGTAATCATTGTTGACAGATGTGAAACGTTTCCAATAACATAGCTAATCTCATCCGAAATCGGCCACAACTTGCAGATCCATACCATTCAATTCCAGCCGTAAAAACATTATTAATCATATCTGCATAGCGCAATTCATTAATATTCGAAAAAGTGAATTACGATAACCCCACCGGACCGTAAACCGCACCAAGCAGTTACACGTTGAGAATAGAAATCTTGGCTTTTCCTAGCGCCATATGCGGCAGTTTTGCTTATTCACGTAGCGAACGAGGTGGATATGAGGCTCATCAGTCAAGATGATTTTTCGGTGATATTTTTTTGTGAATTTCTCCGTTTTTTTACTGGTGTAGTTTTCACTGGTCAAATGTCAAAAAGCTTCAAATGTGTCATCTACCCGAATAGCAGCTCTTATTGGAAAACCATTTATTTTATTTAATAATAGCTGTTGTTGAAAGCGCTTGTTATTATTTGAATTTATATAAAATTTATCTATGAAAAATTAGATTTTTATAATTTAAATAACAAGCAATTATTGGGGGTTTACACTAAAACTACCTTTCTTTAAAAACACTTTATATTTTAATATTTAAAAAATATAGGTACATATGTTTAAGCTCCATATTTATTTTTATACATTTTTCTGATTTTTGTTCAGAAGAAAATTATTGCCTAAGACGAGCAAATCGATTAGTAACTCAATTTTCAAGCTTCTTAAAAAATAATTATTCATTTGTTGTATATTTTACTTTCATAAAAATAAAAATTATTATTTTTTTTTGTATGAATATATGTACATTTACTTGTTTATATGTATTGGATAAAAATATAAATGAATTTCAATTGAACACGCTTGAAAACTGCCATGCTGTACTCATGTGGCTCCAATGCTTGGGCGAAAATTACAATCAACAAGTTGTAGCAACATGCGGACGTCGAATGTCAACTATCATTGGCACGTTGTCCTCACAAAGTGCTTATGTCATCCATCCAGCAGCATCGATTATTTAAATTTGCTTTTCTCGTTTTTTTTTTTTTCAATTTATATGAATTTTTTTTTGCTACAAAAAGCGCATGACAGGAGTGCGATAGTCAGCTAGAATTAAGTTCTCATTGAAATTAGTGATCCATTGAAATTTAATACATTTGTTGAATATATTTATTTATTTATTAGGCTGTTTAATGTAATGTGTCTCCAGACATATATACATACGTGAGATATCGAATTCCAGCTGCAACTGAAATTATCTGCCAGAAGCTTATATTTTTCAAAGTACTCTTAGTATGATTTATTTGAGTTGGGTATAATCAATATACATACATACATATGTATGTAATTATATAGACGACCATACATATATTATATAGTATATATATACAAATATGTATAT